ACCGCAATACCGTAACAAAAAATGGCAAATACCGAAATACCGCGTCGAAAATCGTCTAAATACCGATACCGCATATTTTAATCACATTTATAATCGTTTCCCCATACTTATGGTTGCTGCCATGTAGCGCGTTTAATTATCCCAGGCATTTATGCACCAGATTTCCATGTTTTTGTAATATTTTGGTAGTTCGCAAAGTTTCACTGAAAAGTAAACTACATTCGTTCAACCTTTTGGGAGGTCGACCCAACAGCTAATTAACTGCCATGAAAATAACTCTTGAAAGCGCGAAAAACGAACCAACCAAAACTCTTTCTACGCACGTCTAGTGCGAGTTTTGATAAGTGGGTCTAGTCTAGCACGTCAGTCTCTCACGGGGTTAACTATCTCGACTGTCTCAGACGCCGCGCCGGTAAGAGGCAAACTTACCAAATTTTCTCGTTTTACTTTACAAGGCGTTTTTCAATTCTCGAAACCCGACATCTAAACTTATTCTTGTTGCGATAATGTTCGCCTCCTTCGCCCTCTTCATAAACGATTGCCACACAGTCAATGATGACCACGCCGTCTTCAACCTCAGCAACCTTAGCCTCCCCGCAGACGTCCTTTGGGGTTCGTTTGTCAGGGGAGAAATAAATGCGTGACAAACGAACCCCAAAGGACGTCTGCGGGGAGGCTACAGCAACCTCGGCCATTGTGAGAAAACGTGTAGGTCCTCGAATTACCGGCACAGGTTCACAGATCGAAAAGCCTGGTAAGGTAACTCGAGAAGACTCATTGTCATTGGATGCAACAACAATCATATTGTGTATTATCGACCATTAACTGTCACAAAATGACCCACAAATGGTGTAATCACTTACCGTTATGTCTCAAGACTTCTAAATATTAACTTTTGTTGACCTTTATGTCCTACTGTGTTTTTGTTTTGCGAATTGTATTGAAAGGAAAGCGCAAATAAACGGTACCGTAATACCGGGAACAATCTTATTTCACCGAATACCGTCAGCCAAAATGATGAAAAACCGCATACCGCAGAGCTAGATGATACCGCAATACCGCACGTGAAAATTAAAATTACCGAAATACCGCATGAAAAAAAGCCCAATACTGCAATACCGTAAACCCCCATGTCCCCCTCCTTGCTACTACAAGGACGTTTCACAAGAGAGACATCCGCGCCTCAATGACAGAAATGCCACATTGATTATGTAAATCATTGTTTACATAATTATTAAATCTAGTAGTCATGGGGTTCGAAATGTAAATTTAACAAGTTTATGTTTCTCCTGGTCTATCATGGTAAAATTTTGAGCTACGCAGGGTCATGGTCATGTAACTCTTTAAATTTACAGGACTGTGAAATATGAATAAATACATAAACTTAATATTGTGAACATTATTTCCACACTATGAATAGTACTGTTACTGAACTGAAGTTATTTACCTCCGGTGACTTTGTATCTTTTTCCTGATTGGGGATGCTCCCACTGAGTAGTTTTTGTCAAATGACTGATAATTGAAGAAAATACTAGTGAATATATGAGCTTAAGCTTTAATAAGCTTAAAAGTAATCTTAAACCTCGCTGTACACCTGAAAGTCTTAAGTACAGATGTACATCGATTCTGGTGTAAAATAAAGCTAAAAGCTTGGTTATGTTTGGTTTGATTTAATCCAAATCTGTTGCTGCCTCTATGAAATTATTCCTCTGAGGATATTACGCACATGCAAGCCACATGTAGATCGCAGTCGAAGAAAGTTTACTTTTTTTAATAAGCAGTTCAATGCAATGATCGACGTGCAACACTGGCAAAAGGCTTGCTCTCCGTAATAATAAACAAAACAAAGTCTTACTTTACGTAATAGATCCTTCCATCGTCCACTGTTCTTATTTCCCATCCGGGAGGCAAATTCTCTTCCGAGATTAACTGATCATTTACAGAAGGTTCATCGAAAGACAGTTCATCTGCCATGTTGGAATTCGTCAAGCGCGGAGGGACCGGGACGGGTTAGCCTGTGTAATTACGCCCCCTACTCCCCCTCCCCTCAGTGAAAAATCGACAGTGGGGAGGGTGCGTCTGAACACAGAAAAGCCGCGGGAGAGAAAGAGTCACCTGGCCCAGGGCTGTAATGTGATGCCTTTGAACCTTTTTCAGGCAGCAGAGGTTTTTCTAGCCTGCGTAGTCTGGCGGTTTTGGTTGAGCGGGAAAAGTAAATAAAGGCGGGCGAAGCCCGGGGCGACGAGGGCAGGGGTAGCCTCCCCGCAGAGGAGGAACGAACGAGGGAGGGAGGGACGAACCCCAAAGGACGTCTGCGGGGAGGCTAGGACTTGAGGCTAGGACAGGGAAACCGCAAGGAGATTGCCGCTCGTTCGCGCGCGTTTTTGCGGCTAGGCGCTCAGTCGTGCTCCCGACAAAACTATAATGCTCCCGAAAAAACCGCCATGCTACGCAGGATAAGGTCTTTCTTAATTCATTTAGGACCATTTAGGGGAACTGACAAACCCCACAGAAGGTGAAGCTACCCTCCTCCAACCCCATCGCAAAAAATAGATTGGTCCACAGAATTCCCACTGCGATGAAAATGTTCTTAAAAACCTGGGCTGCTGTCAAAACATAACACACAATAATATGGATTCTTGGCCTCCTCTAGTCGGATTTAGTCTGCAAGAAAGCTCTCTACTCCAGTCACCGAGTTCATTAACATGGCTTTTCACAAATTCACTTTAATTAATTTCTTTTTTGAGTGGAAAACAATATTATTTCTAAATGTGGAAAGATAAGACGCACCGTGAAAGCTGTGTGTATTAGGAAATGGGTTGGGCTCAGGGTACCCTCGGTTTAACTGATCCATAACATATTCCTGTATCTGAGTCCATACCCATCTCTTTTATCAGTACAGAGCAAAATAAAAGTGCAACTACTATTCCTTTGATAAGCTTTTATTAATACCTTCAATGTGGAAAAGAGCTTATCTTGAACTGTACTTTACAGAACTGTACAATAAAATGATTCGGGCATTGACTCTTAGACGCCAGAAAACAACACTGCTACCAGCTAATTATGTTAACTTTGTTAAAACTACATAAATTAAATATCACCCATCTTAAAAAGGAGACAAACTTCTTTGTTGTCATCTAAATGAAGCGTAAATGCAACAATAAAACAACAACTGTAGTGCTAAGCACAAATAAAAAGCTAAAACTGGTAAAAATTACCCATCTGTAAAACTAAAAGTATTATGACAATCTTATGGTACAAATAACACGTTTTGAAAGATAAGGTACAAGGTACAAAATGTCTGTAAACTGATTTCTTTTTACAGAAAACAATACACTTATGTCCACTGCAAGAAGGGTAACCATGTGAATGCAGGTCTATTAATGCAAAATATGTTGACATGCCATGTTACCAAAAGAGCAAAGATTTTGAGTGTTGATGACGTCAGATCTTACAGTATCTATACTCTTGATTTGATTTGTACCAGGCAACCCATGCTAAAAAAAGGGAACATTTTACTTGAACTTTTCAATATCTCATTATTATCAGTAAATGAACTTAGAACACCATTCTGACAGTCAACTCTGTATTATCTGAACAAAAGCACAGTTACTTGGATGAAGAATGGTAATTGAATAATGGCATTTTGCGCTGAGCCACTACTAATACTTCTGTGTTTTGTTTTATGATTATGGTTACCAATATTTTGTGTTAAACCGAAAATAAATACTTTTGACACTGAAACACAAAACACAACAACCAACTTTTCAGTAAATCTTGCCAAAGATCCACTGACTAAAACAAATCTAAATGCTACAGGAATCCCCTTAAATATATAGTAGGAATCAGACAACTTCAGTAACACTGGTCAAGGACATTTCCATGAAATGTTGATGCTTTCTAAGATACGATGATTGGTGAACTCCTATCAAAGACAAAGGAAAAACATTATAATATTACAACACTTTTGTGTGACAGCAAGGTGTCCATGGTAGCAGAGATCTCAATGTCAAGAAACAGATGCATTTAATTTCTAATGATTAAAATTTAATAACTAGAGGTTTCCTCGTCTTGTAGTCATGACAGCCAAAACAGCAATAAAGAGAATTTGTATGAACAGCGTACAAAAAAAGTAGTGGGCGATAGCCCTGGGCTAGTGGATTTTGCTATTGGGCTATTGAATTCTGTTTTTAACTTGATGTCTTTTGAGGAATTCGAATAACAGAAGAACAGTGAAATAATTCTGCTAGTCAAAAAGCTTTTGGGGCTAGTTGAAATGATGTCTGGGCTAGTAAATGCTAGCTTCAGCTTGCCTGAATGGCAAGCTGTAAACATGATATTTTTGCACCCTGATGAATATTTTTTATTATTTTTTTAAATTTTTTTTCAGAACCTGTGACATGTACAGTATGACACACATGAAAGTATATCACTTTCAGAATTATAAAACAGCTCACTATCCCCAGGGGTTTCAACAGGCACTGACAACCGACAAAACATGTCGGCTACTTTGATCAGAGAAGTCAGCTACTTTTTCCCCCACATTAAAGAAAGATCCTGTCAAAACTTATGATAAAATTCAATTTGCTGGACCTAGACAGTATTTTTGCTTCAGATTTGAAATATTTAAGAAAAATTTGGGACATAAAGAGCATTACCTGTCCCAATTGATCAAAAATATATTATCTTTTGTACTCACTTTAGTGCCCAGAACGATGGAAATCGCATTTTAGGGCATTGAAATTTCGGAATTTTCAAGGGACGCACGCCCCCAGACCCCTCTAGAAGAAGGGCAGTAAGCCTCCTTTTGATACAGTCGTTTACTTTTTTCAAACCTGCTGGCTACTTCAATTTTTATTGAAGCCCCTGTGTCACCAAACTTTTAAAGCCTGTGGCCCTCACTCACACCAGGGAACACAAAGACCTGATTATTTTTAAAAAAGCTTTCACTTTTGTTAAAAGACACTGAGTAAAAGAAAAATTATAATGATAACTTGGGACACACACCTGTTAAAGGAAGACTCCTCAAATTCAGCGTCCATAGGCTCCATTTCAAACTGTTCACCTTCATCAGACTGGTACTGTGCACTTGAGCTAACAAGTGAACAAATCATTGTTAAAAAATCACCATAAGACCTTATTTATATAAAGAAAATGCACTGCAGTCCAAATTGTCTGTTCTCAATTTATTGTGCTGGTTGAAAACTAGTAGTCCCAAAGCAATTTTCTATAATAGAAAGAGAATGTAATGGTTTGCGAAAAATGGCATAATACCACTTTTTAACAAATAAATGCTGATCCCAAATAACCTTAAGACTTACAGTATATACTGTCTAATAAAGTCCAGGTCTACTTGGCCAAGTTTGAAATAATGTATGCCTAAACATGTGTATATTAAAATGGATATGATGTGATCTTTGCCACTTACTACAAGACTTTGTTCTAAAATAAATATAGCTGCACACAACGTTTTTAGTCTTTCCCTGTTGCCTTTTATAACTATAAGTACTAAGTTGTAAAATGAGACAAGATTTAAGGTCAGGCCAGCCAAAATTGCACAGCACTGTTTCCAAAATTATATTAAAGGTAGCCTTGATTCAAGAAGTAACAAGTCATAAACTTTTGATGTTTACATAACTATATGTGACTGTTGATGTTGTGGTCTATATCTCACCATGTACTGTCACTTTACTAATAACTATTGTTACCTTGTTGCCCTACATGTAAAGAACAAGATTCTCTTCATTTTCTTGTTGTAGAAGAAGTAGTTGAAGGACCATAGACTACCCTCTTCACCGTAAGGATCTGAGTCAAGATCAGGGTTATAACTACAGAAATGAAAGAAATACATGTATGAGGAAATGACTAGTTAATAGGAACTGGAATGTGCAAAGTATTAGACTGGGAACATGCAATTCAATTCACTGGGAGGAGATTTGACTATCACACCATTGCCACTGAAATGTGGAGTTTGAAGAACCTAAAAGGAACAAGTAAAAATCTGAAATCTCTGTATCTTCCTTCCCTTTCCTATAATGTACTTTTTTGGCAAGCTAATCATGAGTAATAAAAAGCATAATAAAACTACTGAATGTTGTTCAATTTACTCACACAAAAATACAGCGATAAAGCAAAAATTGAGTACTTCAGAAAATGCTATTTGTTATAAACTGAAACTCAAAGGAAGAAGGACAACAGGCCGAAAAGTTATTTCTCTCTGTTCTTTGTTGCAATAGTTTGGTCATTTCATGATCTGTTGTTAATGAGAAGCAGGTGTGACAACAGCTTGTGGCACAATATTGAACTCTTTATGTTATACATGTAGAATGTGTTTTATTCACCACAGTACAAGTTTCAATGTAGATATCACATATTATGTATTTCTCGTCTTGAAAATGTTTTCAACAAAATTGTTAAAATGCTTTTCTGTGGCAATGAAACTGTAAAATGGGAAAAAAATAACTTTTGGGCTTGACTTAAGGTTGGTTCATGCTTGGCTGACTCCGGCTTGCATTTGGCGCTTGAAATGACCAAACTCAATATTTAAAGTTACCTGAAAATATCACACTCTGCAAGATTTATCTCTTCATCCACAGCAGCCCATAACCCAGTCTTCAGTGCCACAAAAGGCTCCCCAACATTTGCTGACAAATTCCCATTAATTGTGTCTATGACAACTCGCAGATTTGGCTCACGAGAGAATTCATGAGACTTAACATTGCTGAAGTCATAGTCAGGATTGAATGCAGCATTCAGTGTTGATATCAAGTAAAATAACATCTTACGACTGATGGTATCGCACAATACCGCCTCTTCCTGGCTTCCTGTGCTAAGTGTCCTCGGTCGCATATTGGCCAGAATACCAGGGTAACTGCTGTTTGTGGGCGATATACTACCTGGGGTAGTGGTTTGAAAGTGTGTTTGGGGAGGTGACAATGCTTGAAGTTCATTGGGACCACTGCCTTCATTTAGAGTTTTGTATAATTTCTTGTCACTACCAGCCATCTTGCAAGAATAGCTTTCAATTCTAAGAGAAGATAAATAAACAGGAGAAAGAAGAGTCATATATTAGCATATCATGTTATGTAAGAATTTGGTTTCTTCGCCTCAAATGATGTTTTGAGCATATTACACATGCATCACTCATTTATCAGAGCGGGTCCAGAGATTGTGCCTAATCTGTGGTTTTTTATGGTACAGCCTAGGTATGAAGACCAGTCACATGCCCTTTCATCCTTTCAAAGCATTCTAACCAAACATGGCAATGCGTAGTCACTACTCACACCAAGGCAACACCAAAAGTGGCAAAAAATATAGAACAAAAAATTATCTTCCACGTGTTTACTCTTAATCCCTATGAAAAGCAAAGAACACTTTCATTATTACCATATTACCAACTACAATGTACATCCACCACATTTTGATATACAGCTATTTCTAGAAAGGTTGTCAGAAAAACTGTGCACGCAACAATCCCAAAAGGTAATATGGGATATGATCAATACACTGTTCCTGACACTGTAGCCGTCGAACCTACTTTTGTTGCTTTCCTTTAGCACTCACTAACATACGTCCATGGCCCCTCTTGCCATTCTTTGAAATTTCTTTGAAAAAACAGTGAACTAAAAACCACCCACAATACCTTTCGGGATTATCGCGTGCACTTTTTCCGACAACCTTTCTCAAAATAGGTGTATAAACTGCATAAAACCGACAATCCCTTGATTTGCTCTGATGAAGGTCTTGTGCTGGAAAGTTCTGCTTTATTTCTTTACAGAGATAAATTAACTCTTAGATCAAATTTTTCAGGTTTGATATATTAAAATTCTAGCGTGACTCAGATGCTTTCTGGTCATTTTTCTATACTTGGTTTGGTTTTCCTTGTGCTCAAGTCTCTTCAGGGAATTGCGAGACAATAGACTCCATATAGAAAAATGACCAGAAAGCATCGGAGTCATGTTAGAATTTTAATAAATCGAACCTGTCCTATTGAAACTAAAAAATTTGGTCTAAGGAGTCATGTAAAATTTGCATTTATGACCCTAAAGCCTCGAAGTCGTGTTATTTTAAATGTTTCAAACTTGGGCTATTTTCCCACTGACACAGCACCATACGTTAGTTTCTCTGGTAACCAAGCCCTCCAGTCTCATTACATGAACATATCACGAGGTAGAGACCGCAGTTGTTTACCATATGCAAAAAGTTTCCAGAAAATCCAGTTGGCAAGCAAATGAAACATGACTTTTCAGGTCACTCAAATTAAAAAAACTTCTGTGAGCAACAGAATTTCTGAAAAGGCAACATTTTTCTGTTCCAAATGTTCCAAGCAGAAATTCGTGTTCCATTTCATCGAAGTCTTCATCGAAGGCACCTTTGATACCAGTTGCAGGCTTTCATAGCCGTTTTTTTATTTGATTTGTGCAAATGGTGAACGAAATTAACGGACGAGATTTTCCAGTCATGAATTTTGCTTACCATTTGCCCAAGCCGTAAATCGATATCCGTTTGCCCTTGTATTTTGGTAAACAACCCACTCGATTTGTCCTCTCTCCGTCAGCGGAAAGTCCCGTGATCGAAGAAAAACAACACATTTACACAATGGCTCAATCTGTATTTGGCTTTGTTTTTCTCTTTATCGATCATTACCCTTCTCAAAAAATATATGACAATTAAAACAAGCGAGGGGTTAAATTGAAACACAGCGTTTGTACATAGTCATCGACCGAAAAAAATATCAAATTAAAGGCCTTCGATCAAAATCTGGGAAGTGTAAAAGTAGAAAAATAAGATTCGTTTTAAGCGTTGTGTTCGTTCACATGGCCGAAAATCAGCTGTAATACTGCACGTTTAACTGTTTAATTCTTGCCTCAGGGAAATGCAGTCTGAGTCAGTTGGATCACTTTGACAGCTGAGCTTATTTGGACCAAACAATAAAGTTAACATACAACAGTAAAACGACAACCGACATCTTACCTTCCATCGATCTGGCTGTCCCCTGTGTTGGTGGAAATTGCTGCACTAAGCGTATCCAACCGGGCGTTTTCCAAAAGCTTCATATTTTCTTTGTGCTTTTGAGATTCGCTTCTTGTCACTTCCGAACGAAGCTAAGGAGGTTGTATTTTCGCAGCTTCAGTTCCTCGACGTCTGTTGATCGAACCTCGCTTCTAGTGAGCTTAACAGAGTCTCTGATGGTTTTGTAATCGCTTACTAAACGAACTAATACTCGACTTCTTGTTAATCGAATGGTGTCGGGGCTTCCTTCCACTTTGGGCGCCAAACTTCTCTACAAAAAAATTGAGGATGGAACTCGGCTTGCTCGGATGCATGTAGAAGATTTCCTCCAGTAATCAAAAAATCCTCAATATAGCCCACAATATTGCGAGCCAATACTTAAAAACCAGGTTTTGGGAAAACTGTGCTTATTTTCAAGGCTGCAAATTGATTTGAAACGCGAAAATTTCTTTTCAAAGACGAACAAAATGGCGAATAAACAATGTTTGCAGAAACTGAAAGATGACGTCATTGCTCAAAGATAAAGAAAATAAAGAGAACAAATGGAAGGGAAATGGAATGAAATGTTGTGGACGCGAGACAAAATCCGCTTACATGCGGCCCTAAAAAGGACAGATGCTCGTATACAAGTTATTTTTGATGACTTGATTTTTAAAATAATGGTGACCTTTAGATTCGAGGCCAAGAATGACTACGAAAACGAGATTTGACTTAATGTTTTTTCGCGTATTCTCAAATATAGACAGCCAAGAAAGCTTCATCACCCAAAAAGTTATCACCGTACATCAGGGGCTCCTGCTGTACATGTTATCTTTACTGAACGAGGTTACGCCCTCTGCCTGCAGATTGCAAAATGATAAAACTCCTAAGATTTGATAACTTGTCTATCACGTTTTCCCGCCAAAATGACGCTGGTGCCACGCGCGTGAGGAAATCTCGTACTCGTAGTCATCCTGCAGGTCAATGTCTGATTGGCCACTATTGCGTCACAAAATGAATAGTTAAATTGCAATTAGTACGTTTATTAGCTCAGAGAAGATTACAGCAACGAAAATAATCCATTACATTATAAGAGCGAATAACAAGAAAGGCATGGATGTTCAGCAAAAGCCAAACGAAAGCGTCCCTCGACCATTTTTAGACGAAGCCAAACTATCAAAAAACGAGAGAGCACAACTTATAGAAAAAGTTGTGGAGCGCTTAACAAGTACAGGATCTGACAAAGTACCTGATTCAAACAGGACTGGAGCTGCTAAAGAAATGGGTATCATGAACAGTTTTGCATGGAGAGGATGGTAACCAAGTTAGAAGACAGTGAAAGAAATTAGCAGTAGCTCGTCTGACCCGAGGCTGAAATCTGGGAGAGCCATTTTTGAACAGTCTGGCATGATCACTAACTGACACTGCTTGCGTGTCAGTGCGCTATAAAAGAAGAGCTAAAGAAGACTTTTAAAACACGAGAGAAGTCCCGACATTTCCAGACAGTTGAACGCAGAACATTTAAGGTCAACTCTAGTTGGGTTAGCTTTATCAGTTATGAGTTATTTCAGTGTTGCTTGTAACATTGTTTACCCCCCTGATAAGACAAATCCACTCGTGCAACATTTCACAAATAAACGCACCACTAAATATACTGTTGATTATAGGTCATATACTTTATTCAACTTTTTAATTCTTGTTGTATCAGCAATATATATTTTTGATTCAAACTATTTAACTTTCTACAAGCACATCATTTTTCATGACTTATCTGCGAGCAAGCCCTCAGGGGCGCTGGCACTCTGGCAGCGCGAGGCGCCCCACCCCAGAGCGCCCCGGAGATCTTGCTCGGGGGCTATTCTTGACTCCTGGGAACTTCTATACTACAAATAGTAATGCTAATGGTGGAATGAGAATACCAAAAGTAACAGAACAATAGTTCGTAATGACTACACTACTGCATATATTGCGCATGAGCAAATACTCTCGGCCGTAACAAAGTTAATAACAAAGTAGCAGTCGAAAACACCAATTGGTAATCAACTGGCACAGCTCCAATCTATTCTATTTCAACAGTTTTTTTTTCTTAGTTAGCTATATTCAACTATAAATTTTTGGTGTCAATGTTACTATCCTAGGCCTCTTTTTGATAAATTATGCTCCAGCGAAGATTAACTTCATCCTCCTTAAGATCACACGGTTAAGGACTAAATGTGGATGTGGAAATTGCTGGAATGAATAATAAAAAGAATCCTCATGAGAATTCAGTTTTAACGTATTTAAGTAGAAACGTTGACATAAATCGGAATTTCATAAAGAAAGCTGATTCGTTCCCAGTCGTCTCTTATGTTAAGCGGTCACAGAACGGTCGCCGGAGGCTCTTATGGTATCTGGTGCGAAGGGGACGATGGGAAGGTAACAGAGGAAAGGAAGAGACTTTTTCCATGTTTATCCCCTGGGCTTCCCTTGACCGCGCAGTTGACGACGGCGCACGCAAATCAAACAACTGGCTTGACCAATGGCAGAGCCGCAAATTGAGCACCGGAAGTCACCTGCACTTCCTTCCGTGCGCTTTCCCGTCGTCAATTGCGTTCCCGTTCTGTTGCTAAATCAACCTAATTAAATAGGAAACCGAGAGACGACTGGGAACGACAGGAAACAGGACCCCATCAATTGATGGGCTCCTAACAGGAAACTAAGTCCGGCATCAATCTGCAACGGAGAATAGAACTCACTTCATGAACTCTGGTGACCTCGCTATAACGTTTTCAAATTCCGCAAAAGATAACAAGCCGTCTTCGTCCAGGTCTGCTTCCTCTAACAACTATTGAGACAAAATGGACAAGCTAAGTTTTAAATATTTTCAAAACTGCCAATCGTCATCAAGATTACTGGCGTGAAGGGACTAGTGAGAGACTCAGCAGGGTACTATACGTTCTCAGTAGTCCTTCGCTTCTCATTGCCGGTTTCGATAGTATAGGCCCGAGTGCGAAATACCGGCTGTCAAACTACAATTTTGGACAGAACAAAAAAGAAATGCAGACCCCTGATCGCCATTCCCCAAACTGATCAAGGATGAAGCCGCGCAACTGGGTCAAAGCGGACCTTTTCCAAACATTGATATGGATCTCGGGGGTGGGTCTTTCTACATCTATTTTGTCCAAGATTGCCGCAATCTTGGTCAGAATAAACGAAACGACGGCAAAAAGATATAAATCGAGAGGAAGAAAGTTTTGACCCATTTTGTAAAATCAAACGAACGCCGATGGGACGGCTATAGATGGTCACCATATGAATTGTGCCGTTCATACAATTTCAATTTGAAAAGCATCAACTGAATTAACCTGAGATCAGGCCCAATTTTAGCGGTTCTCATACATTCTCTCTAACGGCTACCATGCCATGCCAGCAGGAATGTAATTTTTAAAGCGAAACGAAAATAGAGCCTGATGTCAGGTTGCAACTGAATTCACTTTCCGAAAAGTAAGCACGGTCAAGTAATTAGCACACGTGTCTAGATTTTTACCAGAAAATGCACGACATCGTTTACCTTATCAGTGACAAACTCCATCTCTTCGTCGGAAAGTTCATTTGCTGTGATGGCTCGCAGGGTCAGTTTTAAGTCTTCCTTACCGAGATAATTGTCGCCATCAAAATCTTGATAAAGCAGAAATAGATTTTAAAAGTAGAGCTACGTACCCAGTTAGTGCCTTATCTCAAAAAGTGAGCAGATCAAAGTGAAGTGAGGAGCACGGGTGCCAGGGAAATCTACCCAAGAAAGAATTTAAAAGAGAAATTCGCCGACTTAAATCTAGATATTTTAGTAAAAGAAAATTACTATAATTGAAACACCTATCATTATACAAAAAGTTTGGCTGGCTAAATAAATAATTAAGTGTTTATAAAGTTTCAACTGATTTTCTCTTAAACTTCTAAAGTTATCGTTACCTTAACTCTGTGTTTATGTAATAATACTTTACTGTAACAGTTAATTAACCCTCAGTTTTTCGTCCGTCCCGCCTAGGTTAGCAGTTGCTACCTGCGGGTCAATGTAATAACTTAAGTTAAATTCTTGAAATAAAGTTTTTTTTTGTAATTAATGTTGTTAAGTCATTGCCCGGCCTTAAAACGAAGGACAACGCATACGCTAAGTATTGGCTTTGCTGCGTCTTTTGAGATATTTGTATGGATTGCCTTCTGGACTTCCCACGTTTCTTCCTAAGTTAACAGGTATTTTCGGCCTAGAAAGTAGTCAACCCTTTACTGTTGGCCAGAAGTTGGACAAATCACCTGAAACCGTACAAAACATTTTCCCCCACATCATCTTCGATTTTTTTTTCGAGAATGATGCCTCAATCGCAACAAGAAGTTAAGTGCGCCTCAAAAAGCCTCAAACGCGTATCCATGATTTGGGGCCGGGTTGGGGAAATTTGCGCTATTACGACTTTTGACTTCTAGTCTTACCAAATATCTTGAATGCGTACTTTGCCTTCAGTTCTCTTGGTGCCTGTAAAATGAGAACGAAAAATTCACGACTTTTGTGCTTTTGGTAAATTGTCATCAACCTTACTTACTAAGATGATAAGTCGCCTTCACGAATCAGTAAGAGAGTAAATAGTCTAAACAGTTTTCCAGTCGATTGTCAAACTCACCGATTCACTAAGAACTGACATCATGTTCAGAAAGTCGTCAAATGTTAAGGCACCGTCTCCTTTCAGTGAAAATACCTCGCAGATCCTCCTTCTAAAGGGATTCTCCTGCCAAGAAACAGAAAGGGAGCCTGACTGTTGCTGCTCATCTTAATTGCCTGCTTGCTCGGGATTTCCCCTTGTGCATGTTGGTCTCGCAAGAAAAAATTCTCTTTTTGGCCCATAATAAATCTTTTAGTGACCATGTTGAGGTAAAGATGGCTGGATATTGGACTCGTCTTCAGTTTCCTTTAAAAGTTTTGATAGAACTCGACTCGGTCTCGGTCCATAAAAAAGGCAAAAAAAATAAAAGAAAAAAAAACTTGGCCGATGTTCAGCTTTCTGTGACCTCACCACCTTGGTCAATAACGCATATATATATTTCATGTTTCCGTGCCTTACTGGCTGTAAAGACCTTATACGCCAGATCTACCAAGCCGTCTTAAAGTAAGATATAACTGAACTATCAGGTTTCTCAAATTAGTAGGCCTTTTAATAGGAACAATAACTTAGGATATATCGTTATTAGGATAATGGCCTTGGGACTCCGGGCACAACCTTCAGTCCTTCACCAATTCAACCGCCATAGCCTGTGTACAGTCGGCGGGCCAACCCATCCCTTTCAAGAAACCATGAAAAATCAGCTCGCACCTTATTTTTGATACAATAAAATCATTAATCCCTAATTTAGCTTATCTTACTTTAAGTTCTGGAAGCTGCTGAAGGAATTTATATTTCAGTTTTGGTTGGACATCAAGTTCTGTAAAGTCCTTCGGAATAACTTCTGTGTTCAATTCGCTGTATCTCTTGTGAATTCTGAAAACAGTAACAAATGAGAAATTCTATCCCGCAAACAGAAGAGGGAATAAAAGCCCCGGCTTTAAACTTCTTGGAGTGATTCTTAAGCGTAATAACAATTATTAAAAGCATGAATTGAATAGCAGATAGTCAAAGGCCGACGGAAACGGGCCACCCCCTTTACATAATATAATTTCAAAGATACGTGAAGGACTGAGGCGTTGATCTAGTCGAGTGGTATCCAAGAGATACTCTCACATATATAACTGTTAGTAAATATTTTGTGTAGAGAACTTGGGTCCCAAGGCGTCGCGTCAAGACTACAGGCGTTTAATAACTGCAAGTGGTCCAATGTTTTTCCTACATGGTGCTTTCCATCGGGAGGAAGTTTCGACTGAGAAGTTGAAGGTGCATTTGATAGATGGGGTTATATGAAAATTTATAGCACCACTTTACAGGGATTTAAATCACGTTATCAAAATAGCCAAAAATGATTGCGTGGCCACATTTGTTGTGTAATTGTCCTTTAAAACTCATGACTGTCTTTCGTTGGCTTTAACTTAAAAAAAAGATAAAATTAAAAATGAACAAAATTGTCATGAGTATCACGTATGACGTTAATATCAACCTTTTCAGTTTTCGAGATCTATAAATTGTGCAGGTTAAAAGCAACAATTAATTTTCGAACAGCTTAATAGTCTGATCATGAAAATGAGATCGATCGCGCGTGAAATATAACTGTTTATCACTTTAATACATATAACTCTGTATACTCTTGTACCTTGTGTTTAATTTGTTTTAGAGAAATGCATGAGATCTTAATTATCTCAGCAGTTATTCTAACTTACCTTAATATATCAGCTCGGTTAAAGTAAGTACAGTCCTGAAACGATAAAAATAAAATACAGAAGTAAAGCTAAACTATGTGCCACTTCCAGATAGATGTTTACGCTTGAACTGATTTTATAATGGATAACACATATTTTTCGGTTATAAAACGAAAACCTGATAATCTTCAAGCTGATCTTCTGTAAAGGCCGCCTGTTTGTTTCCCATTTTTCATGTACATCCGAGAACAGAACACAATTATTTTTTTTGGTGACAACTTTCGAAAGACTGTTCTTGCGGAGTTAATTTTAAATTTTTGCGTTCATCTATGCTGTTGAGGATAAATGTGATTCGAGTAATAGTAAATTCACTGCACCTGTTTGCTATAAAGTATAACAAAACAAGCAAATGCATTGGTGCACTACATACATGTTTTTTGCAATTGTTTTTGTCCAGCTCATAATCATTCTCTGAATTCCCTTTATGTTTATAGCTTATAGAGAGCTCGGATTTCTCATCTCTCCCGCTGATATAGACCTCATTCGTTAATAATTCATTTTACCACCTAGGAAAAAATTACTGTAGTAGTGACACCGTTATTAATTTAAAGTAATTTATATGCTACACAGCAGAGAATGCAGAGCAATTTCTAGAACGCCATGTTAGAGCCATTTTTTTTTTAAAGAAAAGTATATACAGTTTTACCATTTTCAAAGTTAATTTGGACCTCGCTTTTCCTCATTTATAGTCCATATAATGCCATTGCGAAATTCGATGACTGTACGACTGACAAATTATCCTTCGCCAATACGTTTNAGAAATGCATGAGATCTTAATTATCTCAGCAGTTATTCTAACTTACCTTAATATATCAGCTCGGTTAAAGTAAGTACAGTCCTGAAACGATAAAAATAAAATACAGAAGTAAAGCTAAACTATGTGCCACTTCCAGATAGATGTTTACGCTTGAACTGATTTTATAATGGATAACACATATTTTTCGGTTATAAAACGAAAACCTGATAATCTTCAAGCTGATCTTCTGTAAAGGCCGCCTGTTTGTTTCCCATTTTTCATGTACATCCGAGAACAGAACACAATTATTTTTTTTGGTGACAACTTTCGAAAGACTGTTCTTGCGGAGTTAATTTTAAATTTTTGCGTTCATCTATGCTGTTGAGGATAAATGTGATTCGAGTAATAGTAAATTCACTGCACCTGTTTGCTATAAAGTATAACAAAACAAGCAAATGCATTGGTGCACTACATACATGTTTTTTGCAATTGTTTTTGTCCAGCTCATAATCATTCTCTGAATTCCCTTTATGTTTATAGCTTATAGAGAGCTCGGATTTCTCATCTCTCCCGCTGATATAGACCTCATTCGTTAATAATTCATTTTACCACCTAGGAAAAAATTACTGTAGTAGTGACACCGTTATTAATTTAAAGTAATTTATATGCTACACAGCAGAGAATGCAGAGCAATTTCTAGAACGCCATGTTAGAGCCATTTTTTTTTTAAAGAAAAGTATATACAGTTTTACCATTTTCAAAGTTAATTTGGACCTCGCTTTTCCTCATTTATAGTCCATATAATGCCATTGCGAAATTCGATGACTGTACGACTGACAAATTATCCTTCGCCAATACGTTTTTTTTAAAAAAAAATTAAATTTGGCTGTTTGGTACCTACCGAAAACTATATTGCGGAGTCAAGTTGACCTTTTTTTTATTTAAATGTAAAATCATAAATTTTGCCTAGTCGAGCTGCTTTGATTGGTTATCGCCATTCTAAAAAAAGCGCCCTGCTACTGGCTCAGTCTTCCCGCGCCAGTAAACCGACCCGCCTGGCGCTGGCTCTCAGCTCTTAGAGACCTTAGATGATCTCCACGGATTACTGGCTGCTACAGCCCGGCGATTAAGGCAAGGTATATAATATTAAGTAAATATATTCAAAGATAGTAGTGAAGCTGTAATAGAGTACTAAGGTGATGACGTCATAAAAATTAAGTTTCTGAAATTATGGGATTTGTCAGGATATTCTGAAAGAACAATTTCCAAGAGGCCTTCTCAGTGTTAAGCCATGGATAATAGAAAGCCCAGTCTTTTATGGTTAAGCTAGTGAAATCCAAGTTTTTTGAAAACCTTTTAGGGGAAAGGAAATTACCAAACTACCCTACCCCCTCCCATGTAAGATATCGACAGAATCCCTCTAAACTTTGCCGGATCCCCCCCCCCCCGGCCAACTGAAACGTTTCCAAAGTTTGCGGAAGCTTTGGTACTTGTTCGGACTACAAACAGCGGTACAAACTGGAAGGACTCGAAATGCGTCCAAGACGGGTCGTCCAACTGGCCCTTGGTTTCAGTTCTAAATGGGGAGGGGTGAACCGGTGAAGTGACAAACCAACTTTGTCACGTGAAAGCAACGTTTCCGCTCAAATGCAAAACCTGTGATCGTTTGGCTGAGTGCAGCAGTTTGCAAGCTGCACTTTAGGGTACATGTTTCACCGGGATCAATATTTAACTGTTTAATTTCTGTTCATATTCACGAGATGCTGAAAAAAGAAAACTAGGAGAGAGTTGCAAGCAGGAAAGTTTCACTTCGTGCAAGAATTTTCATGACCGCGTCACAAGTGACATTGAAGATGCACCGCAACTACTGGTCCAATTTATTTGTTACGTTGGTTACGTCATGTTCAAGTAGTTATTTGTGAAAAAAATTATTGGAAAGCTACGTGGCATTAACTGATCGTAAGTCTGATTTTTGATTGTTAAGCAGCACTTAATTTTTGGAGAGAATTTTAGCTTGTGTTAGGGCCCATGCCATTCATAAAGTTAATGGGAAGTTGATTAATCATTAATGACATTAATCAATAATTGTGTTATGTGTTATCCTGTGTAGCTTTTCCCAGGGGATTTGATTTAAGCCAATCAGAAAGAAAGAAATATTTTATATTCATGAAAATAACAATTAAGAACTGAATTAANTTCGTGCAAGAATTTTCATGACCGCGTCACAAGTGACATTGAAGATGCACCGCAACTACTGGTCCAATTTATTTGTTACGTTGGTTACGTCATGTTCAAGTAGTTATTTGTGAAAAAAATTATTGGAAAGCTACGTGGCATTAACTGATCGTAAGTCTGATTTTTGATTGTTAAGCAGCACTTAATTTTTGGAGAGAATTTTAGCTTGTGTTAGGGCCCATGCCATTCATAAAGTTAATGGGAAGTTGATTAATCATTAATGACATTAATCAATAATTGTGTTATGTGTTATCCTGTGTAGCTTTTCCCAGGGGATTTGATTTAAGCCAATCAGAAAGAAAGAAATATTTTATATTCATGAAAATAACAATTAAGAACTGAATTAAGTTGGTGAATGATCGAAGTAAGTAAAGTGAATGAAATATCGATGCATCTTCATGTAGTATTCATCAAACCTTAAACAAAGATTAGTCGCCTTTAGCAAAGACAATTCCATGGTTTTTCAACTTTTGACATGGAAAAGTTTGGGAAAAATCCATCAACTCACTGTGTATGAGCCTGAGAAGTGAGACTAGGGAATGATGTAGTTGCTATGGAACATTAAGTAGGGCTTGCTCATCAAACATCTGCTACCATTAGCCACTACAAAAATAGCATCTATCTAGTTCTGTAGAATATATTCAATGCTTTGGATCATTTCTGCATTTGCTCTTTCTTCATCGACTATGCTATTTGTTTAAAGTTTTTTGCAGTTTAGATTAAAGTTAGCTTGTGCTGTAGGCATGCAGTCTAAATCCCCCTCATAGACTACCAATATATCGAGCTCTCTATGTAGGTCTTTGTGACAGGTCGGGCTGCAATTCATGCTTGAAACTGCTGTAAATTGAAGTAGAACCCTTTTAATGTCATTGAGAGAGATTGAGCATTACTAGTTTTAGAATTAGTATTCTTTTGATTGAATTTGCACATAACTGTGATTCCCAAGGTGTAGCTGACACAAAGCATGTGCATATTTATATAAATGCTGCCGTTTATTCTGCAATTATTTCTGTGAACGGTAATTAGACTAATTGCAATTGTCACATTTCTCCACCCCCTAACCCGTGGGGGCGCAGGGGAGAGAGATGTCTGAATTCCAAGCATTATAATGTTGTCCGGTGACATCACCTACTTTTGCAAATATGATTGGCTGTTACCTTTCTGAAACAGAAAACCTTTTATTATTGGCTGAACGTGCTAAGGAAAACTTCGGTTTGAAAATAGTGTTGACAGGCTAAACAAGAATAAAGTACACAAAGTTAAGACTGATACCATAGTAGCAACTGACAAGAAACCTTTTAATTCTGTTGCAGCAGTCTTGCTTTAGGCACTTGTAACAAAAAATGCACTACCAGTACAGTCGCATAGACTATCAAGCTAAAACAAAAGTAATTGCCAATGGAGGAACTGTGGGGCATTGTACTCCAGACCACAGGAAATAATGCTCAGTATGCATGTTTCAGACCAGCTTCATGACCTCTAAATGCTAGACTCAGAGTGGCAAAAGTAAGATTTGCTCAGTCAGAGTGTTCTCCATAACCTAGACTAGTTCAAGCTAACTCCAAGGCAAAGTTCACATTTTGCACTATCACAAGCTTATGAGTTGTGTTTAGCCTGTCAACACCTCGTTTCAAACTTGAAGAGTTAAACAACCCTGTACATTTTATTCTGGACACTTTATCGTCAAGCACCGGCCTTCACAACACTCAAAACACAGAACATTTTTCATATCGACCATATGCATGCTTCTCAGTGTTCACAGTTCCATTACTTATGGCCGGCAACTTGTTAAGAAATCAAAGTTTTTGCAAAAATTCACAAATTACTAGTTTTAGCATTTTGTATATTGAAGGTCAGGTTGCTCAAGTATGGATATCTTTTCAAAAAGATAGAATGATTTTGATGAAGTATGACAACTTTCTGAAAGCTTTGCAATCAGTGTCAACAAGGAGTTGAACTGCCTTAAAATGGCAACATCCTTGATTCTCTCAACAGTCCAATTTTGTAATGATATTATTGTCCTCGGATATTGTCTTTTTGCTGCCACTGTGATCTCAGTGGCTTGGAATGTTGAACTACAGTCTACATTTTTTTAGAATGAGGTGTTACCGTAAAATTCCGAAAATAGGCACCTCCAAGTATAAGCCCCTCCAAATATAAGCCCCCCAAACTGTTAATGCAAAAAACCCTCCGTTAAATTGCCCCTCGGAATATAAGTCCCCCGGGGGCTTGTACTTGGAAAATTGCCCTCAAATACAAAGTAAAACAAAGCAAAAACAGTAAATTTACTAAACTATAAGGCTAGCCCAATCAATTTTGAAACGCAAATTTCTCTCCATAGATAAGCCCCTCTGAATATAAGCCCCTCCAAAAATACGGTAAGCTCCTCAGAAAGGGCCTTTGAAAAATATAAGCCCCTGGGCTTATTTTTGGAATTTTACAGTATATCGGTTATGTGAACAGTGTGCTTCTGTAACAGGAACCAAACTAATGATGCTTTGACTGGGAAATTTTTTTTGTTGTCTTACCTAAATGCAAGGTGGCAGCTTATAAGGGGCAATTTGACTGCATGAGATAGAAGATTGTAGGTGCGTCAAGAAAACCTTATTGTCAGTGCAGTGTCTCTCAAGGACACATTGCCTTTCCAAAGGAGTAACAACAGAGATTAGTGTTGTAAATGATCAAAGAATATTTTAACTATCAAAGAAATTTGCTTACAATCATAGCTTGTTGAACACACAAGCTTTAGTAAATCCTCTGCCACCAGGAGAGAATGTAACATGGGTGGTACTAATAGTGGAATCATCAGATTTAACATTTATTTTTTTCTTTAATATGTCAACTTGAAATTATTTGAGTGGGATTGAAATCAATACTACAGTAGAATCTTGATTTTTGTTTAACCTACTGAATGAAAATGAAATTGGTTTGAATTATTGAAAGGTTTGACAAATTTAGGGTATATTGATAGTGTTTGACTAAGGCAGGGGAGACAGTTTTAGTTGAGATAATATGGGTATGCTTAAGAAATTTTTATGCAGTGCCTGTTCAAGACAGAATCCCTTAGGTCTGACTGATTACATGGAGTCTTGTAAGATGGTTCTAACTTTTTAGTCTGTGGACAAAAGCCTTTGGTGTTACCATCCTTTGGCAGTACTTTCACATGGTACTTTTTGTTCTTAGCATTTTACAGATTGAAATTCAGAACATTTGTAAAATTTGTCTTTGACCACTTATGGGGTTGAAAGAAGGGTTAACCCTTTAAGTCCCAATAGTGCTCAAAATCAATTTTCTCCTGACGATATCCATAGACTAACATGAGCAAAGTCTATGAGAATTAACAAAATGATCACAAAGAGAAAAAAAATTTGATCTTTGACAAAATTCTCTCAACTAATTCTTCAAGAAAATGTATGGAGATCAGTTTGGAGAATTTGTATGTGGATATTGGGACTTAAAGGGTTAAACAATAAAATTGTGTTTGTTGCAACATCCATATGATGACTAGGCTTGATTACTTGCCACTCATGCTTGGGATGAGATGACTGGGAGGAGAAAACTCCGAGGTGATCGCAATAAGCCACACAATATTGAAATTGTAAAGTGTTTTAATTTCAACTAACACACACTATATACAGCATCAGTACAAATACCACTTAATGTCTTTTTTTTATCCACACTACTAGGTAATGAGGAAACAAAATCCAACTGACATGCAGTTGCTTGATTTATTTGGGACATTTTTCTTTGGATAACAACATTAAACATCAACATGTGAGTACATGATTTTTTAATATACATAATATTGATAAGTTGTTCAGAAAACTATCTGTGGGGCAAGGGTACTATAAAAAACTTCCCCCCTTTATCAGCCCAGAAAGTTCAAGAATTCCTAAAGTTAATAACTCCATAGAACTATATTTTTGGTTTTTTTATTCAAATGTTTAATTTTTTTCCATAGTTTCTTGTTCTCAATTAAAATGTATTTTTTCTTCTTTTTGAAAAATTTAATTTGTTTTGTTTTTTTTTTGCTTTTCTCTCGACTGGTTGCGATCGCTCAATAAATACATGAGAAAAAGAGAATATATGTACATGGTGAAACGATTCCGTCTCACTAACTACTGAACTCGCGTTCACGTGTCAGCGGTCAACCGCTACTTAATAACAAAAATATATCATTACGTCACGCAACGTTTCGCGACGTTCTGGAACGTTTTAGCTAACTAGTCGTCTGAAATACCGAGCTAACAACGAGCTAAAAATTCTAAAACAACTATAAGCATCTTAAACAAGAACAACAAGCTTGAGAGATGATATGATCGAAAGCTATGGGAATGTCCAACGTTAATTTTTTTCACTTATAGCGAAGTTACAACTTGCCCAATGTTGCCCAACTGCCCTCGTACTGATAAGCAGTTGATTCACTTAACTTAGTTGTACATGTACAAAGGAACTATAAAATTCAGTGTTTTATAGCATAACCTTGCAGTGTTTGTACGGAGAAAAGTCTCCTTCAGTTTGGTAGAGGGCTAATCTTGATCAGCTTTCCTGGCATTTTGGAAACTTGAGTCAGCAACTTGACGTACTTGTCCTTGTACATATCGCGCTCTCGTTCCACAGTAGTCACCTGTTTTCGAAGCTGTTCCAACTCTTGCAACAGGCTCTTCTTTTCCACTTCCAGATTGTTTTTAGTTTCTATCCTTCGCAGCCTTGAATGCTGAGCATATCTTCTGTTCTTTAAAGTTCTTCGCCTGTGTTTGACTGTGGCAATTTCTTCTTTTGACAGCCCTCGTTCTTTGAGAAGTCTATTTATGTCTTTCACGGAGAGCTCTCGCAGCTCTTTCTCTGTAAATTTCATTTCATTCGGGCTGAGCTGTTCGTCTTCGCTGAAAAAGTGGCTGTTGCTTGTGGAGCTGCATTCAGAAGGTGCCGGACTGAATTCCTCCGAAGCGACTACCGCCGTAGCGTGTAGAATGGTCTGATCGTCCAAAATCCTCGGTTGGCACGTTTCGCTCAGCCATGCAGGCATACCGTCGAGATCCAGTGTTGAATCAGGAACATGTTGGACTTTCTCTTCTTTCTCCTCTGCGTTCATCATCCATAAATCCAAGGCTGAGAAATCAAAGTTGGACGCGTCAAAGCTGAAGCCGGTTTCGTCTGTCAAAGGGGACACATCATGGCTTTCTTGGTTATTGTTATGAATCATTGTGGCAGATCTTGCAAGGTGGTCGATCGCGAATGTCAGACAAGACTAACTCTTAAAGTGCAAGGCACTGATTCACTTCTCGCTGCGAGAACTAAAGATTTTCTTCACCAGCAATTAAACGATCTAAACACGTGCGCTCGGATCGGACGACAACTATGAATGAGGAGTGTTGTTCGATCGACCGCTTATAACCGGTGTAAAACCGAGCAAGGATTGCACCACTATATGCTCCCAAATTTTATTTATTGGATGATGTAATGTTGCCCAAAAACAGTTCTATTGTTACACAGACATTCAACCAATCAAACGCGAGAAAAGAGTGGGCATGTACGGGCAGTTACCATAACTACGATGTGAGCGGTGACGAACGGGGAATCCCCGAGTTGGCTTTCGTGACAGGTTTTTAAGCCCAATTTAAACTGCTTTAAAATAATTTCAGTTATGCGGATTTTTGGCAATGAAATCAGCGATTTTGCTTTAAATTTTATGATTGAAGGAAGGTTGCAACTAAATCCCAATTTTTTTTTTTTACTTAATATGGAGGCGTTTGAAATAGCTACCAGTACTTATTTTGGCGTCGCGGTTATTTAATCAATTTTTCTGCTACAAATAAGATAATCGCCCGCACGGAAATAACCCTAATAAAATTAAGCTAAAGATACGAGAGTTTATGTGAAAAAAAGTTTTATATACCATTGTCATCATATGTGGTGTAAAAAAAAATCGTAGAGTGTTTTTTTGAATCTTTTTTTTTGGACATGATCACAAAGCATTGATTTGTATTTGTGATCAATAGAGCGTAGAAAACTGACACGTCACCACGAATGTCGTAGCGCGTTACAACTCCTCATTGAAAACATTGATATCCCCTCTAAAGATTTCATTTAAGCGTGTATTATTGTAAGTTGTTAGTGAATGGGTTATNTTTTTTTTTTTTACTTAATATGGAGGCGTTTGAAATAGCTACCAGTACTTATTTTGGCGTCGCGGTTATTTAATCAATTTTTCTGCTACAAATAAGATAATCGCCCGCACGGAAATAACCCTAATAAAATTAAGCTAAAGATACGAGAGTTTATGTGAAAAAAAGTTTTATATACCATTGTCATCATATGTGGTGTAAAAAAAAATCGTAGAGTGTTTTTTTGAATCTTTTTTTTTGGACATGATCACAAAGCATTGATTTGTATTTGTGATCAATAGAGCGTAGAAAACTGACACGTCACCACGAATGTCGTAGCGCGTTACAACTCCTCATTGAAAACATTGATATCCCCTCTAAAGATTTCATTTAAGCGTGTATTATTGTAAGTTGTTAGTGAATGGGTTATATATAGCCGTGACTAGGCTATAAGATGATTCAACAAAACCTGTTTATCTTCTATATTCATTACATCAGCCAAGAAGTCAGTTCTTATTCGCGATAGTTGCGCTAGATTACACACAAGCAGATTCACTGGCATATTGTAAAATAAAGCCACTAGCTTTGATCATTTACCTCTTTTCGGCGAAGTATTCTTTGGCGGATAACGGAACGTACGGGTCGTCAAAACGTTTTCTTTCGTTTGAAGTTAAATTCTTATCTCTTAATTGAAATTCAATATATCACGCTTAGAATTTCACTTAAATTATAATATCACAAACCTTTTGGATTTTTCTGTGATCGCTTCTCGTAAGGATGAAAAAATCCAGACCCTCCAAAGTGCAGTGCTTTTATGTTATATCTTGTAAAGTAAGAGAACAGAAACCTATCAGTTTTCACTTTTTCGGCCTATAAAAAGCATTAGATAATGACCGAGGAGAGCGCTTTTTGCTCTGCCTTTTTTGTTTTGTTTTTGTTTTTCTATTGATAAACTGAGAAAGGAAGAGGTTAATGGTACTTTCTATTGCAAAGTGGACAACAGAATGTGCTGAGATACAGTAATCATCCGAGTTTCATTTGTCGACTTTAAAATCGCGTAGGAAATATTTTCCCTTGTTTTTTCAGTTGCAGATTCTCTTTCAAGACTAAACAATTCTAATTCAGTGAGGCGATAGTAAAGTAATATCAATTAGTAAAGGTCGTCCATACATGTCACGAGCGATAACGCTACGAACAAAGTAATTTGTGTGGACAGTGAGTAGCGTTCAGCTGATCGTAATGAAGACATATTAATCCGAAAATGGAAAGTAAGGGTTCCCTGATTTTTGAACGGTTTATAGTTTTGTGATGGTAACCTGACGGGTCATTTTCGTGCCTCACTATTTGCTTCGAAAATTAGTAGATGTTTGGCGCCCTAAAGAAGTAGCGCCTTTGTTCCCAATAGTATAAGAAAAGAAAGACAATCCTGTTCCCCGTGCCCTGCTCTGTGCTCAAGCCTCAAGTTTGCGCTGTTCTTTTTATTTTCAAAGCTTTTCTGTTATCTCTTTCCACTTGCTCTAAGAGAACACGTGAGCTTTACTATAGCATATTAGATGGTGCTGTTTTTGTAGAGATGTCGCACACTAGACCCTTTCAATCGCAAGTTATTCATCTTTACAAAAGACCTGTTTAGAATTTGAGGCGGTAAACAGGTTAATGCAAATTAAAAATGGCCGCTGTCATTCCTTATTCAGAGCAGTCATTTCAATTCTTTAGCTTTGATTTCGCCATAAATTTCAAAGGAAAAATGACTTAAGTTGTAAGAGTAGGAAAGATTACTTTTTCTATGTAAAAGACCTTGAAGTCCGCGGTAATGTGTAATCTCACGAGTTACTGGTAGTTGTTTGGGAAATTAATTATAGTGATATGCCCAGACTTGCTTATTTCCTTTATGACGTCACTGTTTGCGTGAAATATTGCGCCATTCTTCTAGCCGGGCCGCACTGGGTACTAACGTTGATATGGACCCGATGAAAAAATGGTTGCTTTAGTAATATTTTATTTTTACCACTTACATAAAAATTTGCTCGAATATATTGCGAACAAAGTTATTGAGGCTATAGGAGTGAAATTTTCGCCCTTTGTTTTTCTCTATAGAAATTCACAAAGAAAGCTTTTTTGAACTGGAGGAAAAACAAAGCGATGACAAACTTGAATTTAAGCGAAGGCTTTCACGCGGGGAAGACATTCACTGGAGTTCTGTTGCTGAAGAACAAACACTCCTTTCCGTACCATCATAACGATGTCTTACTCCACACTACAGCTGAGTTCCTGTAGGCTCGATTACTAGCCGCTCCATGGAAAATGAACCCACTCTCTTCGAATGAAAAGACTTCTCGGCAGTACCCGAGAGACCGGTACTGTCTGGAGTTCCTGGGGCGAGTTGCTTAAAGGGGTCTTAACGTTTAACGTCGGACGCAACAGCCGATATGTGTCGTTTAGTCAAGTCAAGCTCTTTATTTTAACGCGTAACGTTAGCAATTGCCGAACTAGCCTGCAACACAGACGAAACTAAACTCTGGTTGAGTCCGTCTGCGAAACAGCGCCGAAATCTTTGTTCCCGGCTCCCACCTGTGTACCAGGATTTGAGTACCCGCCGTGATTGGCCTGTTAAAAAAGTCAT